AAATCCCTAATATTCACTTTGTAAGTAACCAGTAACAATTTTTTTATTTAACCCTAATAGTGAACAAGTAGACAGAATTACTAACAAACCGAACGCTTCCCTCTTGACTACAAACTATTCCCTAACTGAACTAAATTCTACTGGTATGCTGTTCCAATAAACACAATTCACGCTTATATAAACCAAAGTAATAAGAAAATAAATTTAGTCTGTCAAAATCTACATGCGTTTCTTCTGCTGCTCTCAAGTCATAAACACCTTTCTTCCACTGATCCAGCTGTCAGGCATGTTCTCTCTGTGAAGTCTTCTGTGAGGACTCTTAGCTAGAAGTGTTGCGGTACTTTTATGGATAGACTGTGCTTTCTTAGAAAGCTCAGCAATTCCTTGTGAGAGCTACATGCTTATGTCTCAGATGGCGGTTCACTCTCCCACCAATTTTCAAAAACCCTCTCCTTATATACCTTGGATGACATCTCAACTTTCTTACAATAGCATTGGTCTGAAGTTGTCAAAAACCATCAGGTTTAAGTTCAATTGGCTTTCAATCACTAAGTGCTTGGTTTAAATCAATTGGCTGATTTTCAAGCTAGTTACCAAAACACCATAAGGTTTCCAGTCACACAGCGAAGTGATATATGTTTCCATTTTGAAACTGGTTGTACATCTTCAGTCACATACAGACACATTTCTTTTTCTGTATAAAATCTCTAAGCTTAGAAAAGCACTTTACCTCTTAATGGAGCCATACGCTATTCTCCCTTACAATTTTTTTTTTACAAACAAATTCTAGCTTCCTGCCTTCCAATTCAAGATTACTGTACAAACTTCATAACAGTACCATATTTGTTGACTCTTGATTGTCAGTCAAGTGGCAATATTTGGTATCCTATATACGTTATAGACCCACATCAGATATTTCCAAATAAAGTGTTCAATTGTTTTTTAAAAATATTGCAATTCTCACACCAGCCTTGCTTCATTTGCACATCACTTTTAAATCTGTGCCCTCTCATTCTTGTTCTTTTCATGAGCGAAAACGTCTAATCAAATCTCTTCTTAGCTTTTGTCCCTCTGACGAGAACAGTCCTGACTTCTCTCGATTCCTGATAACTGAAGTTTCTCATTCCCGGAGTCATTACTATGAGCTGCTTCTACATTCTCGCCAATGCACTCACATCCTCCCTATAATGTGGCACTCACAACTGTACGCAGTATTCCAACGGAGTCCTGACAGGTGTCTATCCTTCATAACACCCCACTATATTCTTCCGTTCCCTGTGGGCTTGTTCAACATCAGCTCCTTGCTCTTGTCATCAGTGTCCCAGCACATAAAGTGATTAATCATTCATAAAATCAGTGAATTTAATTAAAGTTCTACAGGGTTAAGGTGTTTCTCTTCTGCAAAGCCCAGAGGGCTGGCAAAGTTAACTGATTTCCCCTCCAGTCTTAAGCACCGCAGTATTAGGATTGTCAGCAAAGGACATTGGGGAGAAGAAAACTGAAGCAAACACAGCCAGGCAGAGCTGGGTAAGTGTTTGTGGGGTCGGGCATTGTTACAGGAGCCTGCACAACGACCTTGCCACTACTCCCACTCCCTTAACTACCTTTCATAACACCCCATGAGCCCACTCAGCTCCCTGCGAGCTTGTTTTGGTTGGGGGGGGGGCGGCGTTACAAAAATGCAGCAGGGGTAGTAGCAGAATGTAGCCGCAATCTCATTCCCTCAGGATTTCTGTGAAGCATTCACTCTCCCAGGTCTCCACATTCCATGGAAAGCATGGGAACTGCATGCTCTCTTAATACCAGACATTCTCTCAGGTCTCCTCACACATCCAGGAATTGCTGGGAACTGAGAATGAAAGATGTTTTTTTCATTGCTGTTGCTGTGTTTTTTTTAGCCCGAGCCACCAATAAACACATTTTGTTTTCATTCAGGCACCCTTCTGAGAGGTCTATTTTCTCCTCTCTTTCCATCGATTGTCAGAACATTCCCCACTTTTATTTCAAATCACGGCGGGGCGCTTTTGATCCCGAATTTCACGGGAAAGTTTTTATTTTTCATCTCTCCCCTGACCTTTAACCTGCTGCTGACCCTTTGTCACCTCTGAGCAGTGAAAAGTAAGCCTGCCACTGGCTTTAATATTGTGGGATTGGCCGGGAATTTTTGGAAAAAGGAGTAGAAGGCGCTGAAACCGGTCAGGGGCTGCTTTTTTAAAAAAAAAACATGTGAAAGAGTAGTGGTTAGCTGGTACTGTTTTCATGGGACAATTAAATTGGCAAGTTATCAATGGGATCTATGAACTCACTAATAATCATTCATATTCCTTTCACTCCCTAAGTGGTGGAAACACACCAAGGCAATTTCCTCAGAGATAGCAAGAACTGCCAATGCTGGAGTCAGAGATAACGTGGTGTGGAGCTGGAGGAACACAGCAGGCCAAGCAGCATCAGACGAGCAGGAAAGTTGACGTTTCGGGTCAGCACCCTTCTTCAGCAAACCTTTTTCTGATTTTTCTGAAGAAGGGTCCCATCCCGAAACGTCAGCTTTCCTGATGCTGCCTGGCCTGCTGTGTTCCTCCAGCTCCACACTGCGTAAAGGCAATTTCCTCATTTTCTTTTCGGGTATTTCGACCCCGCTGTCTGGGTCAGCATCTCTTTCTGGTCCCTAGTTGCCCTGGAGATGCTGATGGTGCGCTGCCATCTTGAACAGTTGCAGTCCATGTGCTGTAGGTCGACCCACGATGCTGTCAGGAAGGGACTGTCAAGATGTTGACCCAGTGACACTGAAGGAACAGTCATATATCTCCAAGTTGGCACGGTGTGATGGCTCAGTAGTCAGCATTACAACCTTCACAGTACCAGGGACCCGGCTCTGATTCCACCCTCGGGTGACTGTGCGGAGTTTTACATATCCTCCCTGTGTCTGTGTGGGTTTCCTCTGGGAGCTCTGGTTTTCTTCAACAATGCAAAGATGTACAAGTTAGTTAGATTGGCCATGGTGGATCGCTGCGTAGTGTCCATGGGGATGGGTTAGCCATGGGAAGTGCAAGGTTAGAGGGATAGGGTAGGGGTTTGGGTCTGGGTGGGATGCTCATTGGAGGGTCAGTGAGGATCTAGTGGGCTGAATTGCTTCTCTCTGCATTGTAGGGATTCTATGAGTGTGGCTTGGAGGGGAAATTGCAGGTCATGTTTCTGCTGGGTGGGTTTGGAAAGTTCTGTCAGAGTATCCTTGGTGAGTTGCTGCAGACAGTACACACTGCTGCCCCTGTGCGTTGCAGGTTGGGGTTTGGGGTCTGGATGTTGATGGTGGCTGATGGGATGCAAGCAAGATGTTTGGAAGCATTAAAAGTGCATCCAGTAGGGACAGCCCTGATGAAGTGACTCCCAGGGATATTGTAGAAATGATGTCCCCCTGTGAATTCTGTGCCTTGTTGGGAGTACTCAACTTGAAACGTTAGCTTGTTTTCTCATGGATGCTGCCCGACCCGCTGTGATCTCCACCAATTTTTGTTTTCAGTGCAGATTCCGACATCTGCAATAGTTAGCTCCTAGACTGTAGAATCGCCCTTGCCATGCTGTTGGAAAACTGGAGAGTGGCAGGAACGTAAAGAGTTACATTCAGACAAAAGTTAATACAAAATTGAGTTCTGCTGCCAGTGTAGAGTAACAAACTGCTAATTCGTTTAACAGAACTGCTCCCAGGATGCTAATTTTAAATATGGCTTCTGCATTTAGGTCATGTCAGGCAAAAGACTCAAACCCTTCAATTCCAGAATTCTGGCAGTCTTTTCGTTCTCAGTATATTCCCCTTTTCCCAGCCCGTACTACACATTTTCCTTCCTCGGACTGTCTTGCTTCTGTCCTGGAGAAGAGGATAACTGCTTGGCTCAAATGGCTGCATGTCTGATGCCAAGAGGCAGTACAGGTTTTCAAATATCATCAGCTGATACAGCAACGCAGTGAACAGCAGCGTTATCCAATCTTGCCCATCCAAAAAAATACTCTGCACTTGCCCTAACCATCCACCGATGTGAATCAGGAATGGGGAATAAAGCTTCAGAACTTCCTGGCCTATTTGACGTGGGGCCAAACTGTAATTTTCCAGAAGGTACAATGGCAGTAAGAACAAACAGAAAGCAGGGCTTGATTAGAAGTTAATAGTTTGGTTGTTATAGAAAAAACTAGTTGACATTATTGACCAGGCAGCGGATCTCCATTTGTGCACGAGGGAAATATAAATGGATTCCTACAAATGTCTGTCCTTGTCATTAATGGGAAATTCATGTCCATACTCCATTAGGTTCCTGCATCCATTATTCCATATTTAACCCATCTGAAACCCTCAATCAGATTCCAATCTGTAACCACACCCAGATATCCAGTATTCTATATATAAACCATCTGAACCCCTCCATTAGATTCCAGTCTGTAATCTCTACAGGTACCCATTATTCTATATAAATCATCTGAACCCCTGGATTAGATTCCAATCTGTAATCACTCCCAGGTATCCATTATTCTATATACAAACCATGTGAACCCCTCAATTAGATTCCAGTCTGTAATCTCTCCCAGGGATCCATTATTCTACATATAAACCATGTGAACCCCTTAATTAGATTCCAGTCTGTAATCTCTCCCAGGGATCCATTATTCTATA